AATTATAAATGAGTTTCATTGATTTCCAAGATGAATGATCTTGTTTTTCTTCTGCTTTTGTTCTTCTGCTTTTCTTATTCTTTTGACAATTCACTATAACCTGCATTCATTCATTCTTAGTTGGCATTTTACTTTGCAGTGGGACACCATTTCCTTTTCATTTATCCAGAAAAGAGTTGCCTCCTAATCTACACCTTTTTGCTCTGGCTTCATATTAAATAACAGGAGGCACAGGGAACCCATAGTATTTTGAAAGACCTAGGAATTGTTCATCCCTCACCAGGAGCTTATGAGTTAACACTGTTTATTAACTCCAGGACAAGCCAGTCTTTCAGAGGGGAAGATTTCCACTTATTGCTCACCTTGATTGATAGAGGTTAATACCCCTTGGAAAATGGATTATATTGAGCTGGTTATTGTATCAAAAAAATTTTCAATAATACGTTACAAAATAAAAAGAAAAATACTACCCTTAAACTCTCGTATATAAAATCATATGTTATTAAAAAATGTATAAATATGCTCTACACATTGATTATACAAGGCTCATATAACCTATAATGTAGATGTATGAAAATACACACAGTATCATAAAGGTAACCTAAAAGTAACATACGTTCTATAACATGCACTCAGCATTTTATTAAGAAGGATGTCCCCTGGAACTCAAAGGAAGTTTTAGCATTGTGGGTTCCCTTATTCTCTTAAAAGCCAGCCCTAGGAGGCTTGACTATGAATGTCCCTTGTTTATTTCCTGGGTGCAGTTTCATTGACTACATGCTGACTTCATGAGAGCACCTGATCTTCCTTCTTACACTTTCATTGGCACTTGACGAGCTGTCTAAAGGCGTGTGTTTATTTCATTTATCTAGAGCTAAGGATATAATTATACAATAAAGCTTTACTGTTGAAAATCAGATTTTTAAAAGTTAAAGTAGGCTTTGGGTGATATTTGGTAAAATTTCTCATTTCTGTTTGATGGGAAGGAGACATAGAAATGTAAAGTGTCTTGCTGAGGTCAGACCTCTAGTTTGTTGTGGAATTCACCAATACCCCCATCTAAGTGGCTTTTGGTCAGAACACAGCCTCAAAAGCTGCGGCTTCAAGTCTAGCCTCTCTATTTATTACATACGTGGTCTGGTTACTCAACCTCCCTGTGTTGTGGCTTCTACGTTTATAAAGTAGGGATAATAGTGGTGCTTCTCTCATTTACCAGTTGTGAGAGTGAGCTAATATAGATAAAAGACACTTAGGATACTGCCGAGCATATAGTAAGTGTTATATGTAAGTTATTATAGACTGTATTTGATATTTCAGCAGGTTAACCTCAAACATTTCACTTGAGTATAAAATTAGTCCAGAAAAAATGATGTATTTGAGTTTTTAAGTTTTTAAGGGTAGCAGAAACTGATAACTGTTCTTTACCAAGAAATGACAAAACAAGCAAACCAAAAAGAACCAAAAAACAAAAAACAAAAGAAGCCAGATGGGGGAAGGATACTGAGCCTGTGCGGCTTGGCCAGGGGTAGTCTAAGGGCTAATGTTCAGCTCATCACACTACTGACTGTGTGACCTGAAACTGAGCATATGACAGTATCTCTGGACCTCAATTTCCTCTCCTTTTACATGTTGGAATTGACCTAAAACACCTCTGTTGTCTTAAGTCTTATGTGGTGAGATACGTGGTAAGCGCATTGAATTGACAATCATGCAAAGAAATAGAGTTCTCACACAAATTTCCATTTATCTGCGTCTTCTCCAGTTACCTCTGTAGATGCCATCCCAGAGTTTAATGTTTTTTGCCTCAAAGTCTACTTTGTCTGGTGTTCTTCCAACTTTTTTGGTTAATATCTGCACAATACATGTCTTTTTTTTCCTGTCCTTTTATTTTCAAATTTTCTACAGCCTTATTTTTATGGCTTGTTTCTCGGTACAGTTGGATTTTTAAAAATTGAGTCTGATCTTTTGCTTTTAGTTAGAATATTAATTTGTTTTCATTTAATGTAATTACTTATATACAGTATTTGGGCTTAAATCTACCATTTTACTATTTTCTTTCCTTCTGTCTGCTTTATGTTGCTTGTTCCTTCCTTCTTGTCTTATTTTAGTTTGATTGTTTTTTTCTTATACCATCCCTTCTCCTGCCTCCCACCATTAGCTTGCTTTTATGGTTCCTTCTATGGTTGTCCAAGAGGTTACACTATACCCTTGGTTCCTGTGCTGAAAGACCCTTCTCCTTTAATGCATTTAGCAACTCCTCAACTTCATTTTGTCCTGTATTTTAATTTTATACGTGTTTTAAGCCTCATGAGGCATCATTATTGCTGCTTTTACAGGAAATGTTTCTTTCTGCATCTCTGATCTTTCTTCTTGAAGCGTTTACTTTCTTCTTGAAGAATACTCTTTAGTTAGCATATCAGACTTTGCATGGATGTGCTGAATAATCCTCTCATTTTATTTGTGGAAAGATGTCTGTATTCTCACCTCTTGGGGGCATTTTTGCTGGATATAGAATCCTAGCCTGACAGTTTTCTTTCAGTGTCTTGCAGATACTGTCCAGTATATTCTGGCTTTTGTTGTTTCTCTTCAGGTTTCAACTGTCAGTCTTATAATTGTACTTTTTTATGTCTCATTTCTGACTGCTTTTAAGATATTTTTGTTGTCTTTGGTTTTTCTTAGTTTTTACTTCTATGTGACAAGGTATTGTTTTCTTTGTACGTATCCTGCTTGGGTTTTTTAGTGCTTTTTAAACCCAGGGTTTAGCATTTTTAATCAGTTTGAGAAAATTTTTACTCACTGTATCTTCGAATATTGCTTCTGCCTCTTTTTTTAAAACACCTTTTATTCTGAGATTCCAAATACCTATATGCTAGATGTTTTTGCCATATCCTATATATTACTTACACTCTTCTGTATTTGTCATCTTTTCTTTCCTCCATATTTTAATTTCTATATTTTCTTCTCACCTATCTTTTAGTTCAGTAATTTTTTTTCCAGCTGTGCTAATATGCTGTTAAATCCATCCACTAAAGTCGTAATTTCAGTGATTGTGCTTTTTAGTCTTAGAATTTCTATTTCAATGTTGTTATTCCACCTTTTTGCTGCTGTTCTCAATGCTGTTGCTTAATTTTTTGACGCTATTAATCATAATAACAGAGATATCAGCCACCTCTGATATCTCTGTTATTAGATTCCACAGTGGGTCAAGTTTCTATTTTCTTTTGTTTCTCTTGGTTTCCAGATGTTTGGTATTATTATCTTCTCATATACTTGCATATTTTTTATTGTGTCCCGGATGCTGTATAATAATAGAGATAATTTGAGACACTCCACTATATTCCAAGGAGGATTTGCATTTGCCTCTGGCAGGCAAAATCGAACCAGGGGAGGGAGAGGACTTAAAATTAGCTTACTTCCTGTGAGTGATGGTCTATTTCAGTTTCCATACTTAGACCAGGACTGTAACCCTTTGAAGTTCCAAGCCATAGCAGGTTTTATGGTCTCCTTGGTGGGCACTGAATGCTAACTTCTGTGCCCCTGCACTGTAAGTTTATTAAAACTTCTACTTCTTCCTGAGCCTGTTGGCCCTGCTTTTGACACTGGCAAAAGCCAATGACTGATTTTCTTTCTGGGCATATTTGTGTTTGGGACCAGGGCATCCTGTCTTTTCATTTTGTTGTTGAGTTTATATGTAACCTTTAAGCCATTCAGTGTTTTTGTACCTCACTTTCACACTAGCACAGAGTTTCTGAAAACTGACTCAGTCCACAGAGCCCTTGTTGTCTTGGTTATTTTTGCATAGGGCCCTTCGGCAAAAACAAGTAAACAAGCAAAACCCTAATAGCTCTTTTTTACTAAATATATAGGTCCAAGCTGGGCTCAGTGGCTCAGCCTGTAATCCCGCGCCTTTGGAAGGCTGAGGTGAGTGGATTGCCTGAGCCCGTGGGTTCGAGACCTGCCTGGGCAGCGAGACCTCATCTCTACAATAAATCCAAAAATCAGCTGGGCGTAGTAGCACATGCCTGTAATTCCGGCTACTTGGAAGGCTGGGGCGGAAGGATCGCCGGAGCCCAGCAGGTTGAGGCTGCAGTGGCTGGGAGCGGCCACTGCACTCCAGTCTGGGCGACAGAGTAAGACTTCAACTCAAAAAAAAATATATATATAGGTCCAAACCACTTAATAAGAATTCATAACCTAACAATTTAATAGTCAGTGAAAAAAATACATAAAAATTGAAAGAGAAAAAGATATTTCTATTTCTCATTAGAATAGCCACACTTCCTTGCGTATAGAAGATAAGCCCCTGTTGATGCCACACTGCTGTTCACATCTGGGAATCAGATTGGACACTGTGACCCTCTTTTTCTATTTCACACTGATTTTTGTGTGATCTAATTCCATCACTGTAGAGTACCTTAAGCTGGCAGTTCACATGGTATTCAGCAGACACTGGGCACTTCTGTGCTTCCCTCGAAGCATCAAGATTTCCTATGGCACACAGTTTGTGACATGTTTATCATCAGAGAGACTTGTGAGTTTGGAAAAGTTCCTTTGCCTCCAGGTTCTGGGACATCTCAGGGTATGTGCCTTTGTCTTCCAGTGAGAATTTAAGCATTACAGGCATTGTGATAAAACAGTCTAAATAGTTTTTTTTGAAGGGAAAACTTTTCTGACAGCCTTCGTGATCACCTCTAGTGCGTTCCTTCTCATCTGCCTGGAGATGATGGGGCAGCAGTCACAGGGACGTCAGGCAGATGCTCGTGATATGTAAGACTGTACGTTTAAAAAACTTTAATAACTAAATGATTGATCTTTTGTGGCACAATGCATTTGTGAGGAAGAAATCTCTCACTCTGCTCTTGCTCACCACACCCCTCAGAACTAACATATCTCAGCTGTCTTAGATCTCATGGATGTAGGTTGGGCTGCTGTGTCACAGAGGTGGCAGGTGTGTATGTTGCATTCTTATCCTGAAATACTAGTTACATGGAACAGCTGGGATGGCTTGTCCTGCTAACATGGTGTTTGGAGATGCCAGAGACAAGGTGAGTTAGAAGAGGAAAAGGGCTGAAGTCACATTTCCTGCTGATGGCAATGCTCTTGGACAAGGCACTTTACCTCTGTAAAGGGAAGGTTTTCTTAAGTACCTCTTTTATGTCTCAGAGTTCTTCTTCAACTCCAGAATATATTGATTCCATGGCTCACCAAGAGCCTCTGCTATATTCTTAATACCAGTAGGCCCTTCCTTTTCTGCTAGAATGTGTTTGCAGATCTGTAAATCTAGTATAAATGAGTCGCCTTCCTAATGACCACTTACATCTTCCCTCTGAGTTTATCTTCAGAGACATATGTTTATTGACATGCCTTCCCGCCTTGTCATTCTTAACAAGAAGCACATCTTATGAGAGAATGATAGTCTCCAAGTAGGATAATTCCTGTGGTTTAAAAGTTATCACAAAGGAATACTGGTATTAAAAACCAAAACATATTTATTTCTTGATTCTTGTCTCAGGGACTCTAATGTTATGTAAACGTGAAACATTCTTATAGTTACCCAAGTTTATTTTCAGATTAATTAGTTATTCAATATTTTTCTGGAAGCCCACTAATTTATATCCTTTAGAAAGTACATATGTAGTAGGCCATCAAAATGACATGAAAAGTAGAATGCCTTTTTGTTAAATGTCTAGTGTGGCGCTATGCTTGGAGATGTGTAGCTGATCCTCCCAAAATAATGAGTTGCTAGTTTTCTGGAACTTTTTAAATTTGAAAACATTTAATAGTTTTTTATTATGTAGCCAATCAATTTAATTGAGGTAGAAGAATTAGAAAGTGTAGAAAAGTATGAAAGTTTATTTTTAATTAGATGAATTAACACAATTATTTAAAAACTAGGTTTACATTTTTTTCTAAGGCACTTTTGGTCTGTAGGATCACTAAAAGTTAAGTTTCTTTCAGTCTGTTATAACTCTAATAGGAAAAGGCAGCCAGAATAGGAAATATTTTGCCTACAGGACTTTCTGCCAGATGATATTGGCTATTTTAGTTTATTTTGTTTACTCTTAGAATATTCATGCTAATAACTAAAAAAGAAACTGAGTCTTTCACATACCTCACTGAATTTATGTATTTGAATTTAATAAAAACTATGTAATCCATTTTAGCCAATTACATCAATAAAATCAATTCCATATTTAAGCTAAAGAATAAAATGAACAAATCTGGAGCCCTGACTTGGCAGCAGCACTTTAGGGAAAATGTGACTGAGAGTTTCAGGTAATTGCAAGTGATTACGTTATTATACTTCAGTGTTATAAGAAGGAAGACTTCCACCTCGAATTGTTTTTGTTTGTTTGATTTTCTTTTAGATACAACTTTTTAGGGAGAATGTTGACTGGCCCATGTTTGTTAGAGGCTGCAAAACATGTTCCTGCACCTTTACTCCTCCCTGTAACTCTTTGCCAACGCCTTCAAAAAGAAAAGAGAAAAAAGAGACAAGCAGCAAAGTATATTTCAAAACCTACAAGCTGGCATGTCAAAGCTTGATTTGTGCATTTATAGCAGAAACTAAGTAAATGCTGCCATTAATTTTTGAACTAATTGTACAACTATTAGGGAGACAAATCCAGTGCCATATCAAAGCTAAACAGAAACTGTATGTATGCACTGCAAAGGAAACTTCAAAATAAGTTTTCTAACCTGTCCTGATAGGAATTCAGAAGTTTTCACAGTCTAGAAATGTGTCATGTGGTCATGAATTAAAGAAATGGAACTGATTTGCAGTGGAGAAGAGGAGAAAGAACAGATATGGTGACTGTCTTCAAAACTCCTTGAAAGCTGTTGTGTAGAGGGCGGATGATCAGGGGGCAGGGCGGATGACTAGGGATCAAGCTGGACTTCCCACAAGGCCCCCTGTGGAGCCATGGTGGTGTTCAGACTCAGACTGGAACAGGGCGGCTTCCCAGGCGCACATGGTAGCAGTGGGCTTGATTAATTCTCATTTCAAGATTCTCTCTGAGGTCTTCCTCCAGTCAGTCTACACTGAGCTGCCTTGACAGTGGGCGATATAATATTTTCTAGAAAATGTTTATAATGTTTTATACTCTCTGTGGGTGACCCTACAGGAACTTGGTCTAACCAAGGAAACGAGTTTAAGTCCAGGCTCCTTGGCTGCCCCAACAGTGCCTTGGAGGGGAGGGGGAAGGGAGGCAATGTGGGTACTGAACAGCCTAGACTGCGGCTCTGTCTGTGCTGTGACTGGTGTGCCTGGAGCACGTCCCTCCTGCCTGATTTCAGGTGTGTATGATCTTGTCTTATATTTCTTAGGGCTCATCTTGCTGTTGGAGTAACTGAAAAAGTAAACATAAATAAGTATTGTTACTCAAGTTCTTTCCTATGAAATAGAGTTTCTTTTAACAGAAATTCTATAATTTGCCTGATTTCAGATACCACGAAGCTTTAACTTTCAAGAGTGCTGGAACTATTGTTACTAACCAACCAGAAGGGTTTTCTGTTGTTTGTTTTGAGTTTGGGCCTCACTGTTTCACCTAGGCTGGAGTGCAGTGGCACAGTCATGGCTCATTGAAGTCTCGACTTCCTAGGTTCAGGAAATCTTTCTACTTCAGTCTCCCGAGTCGCTGGAACTACAGACATATGCCGCCATGCCCGACTAATTTTTTTGATTTTTTGTAGAGATGAGGTCTCACTGTATTGCCCAGACTGGTCTGGAACTCCTAGGTTCAAGCAATCCTCCTTGGCCTTGGCCTCCTAAAGTGCTGGGATTACAGGTGTGAGCCACCGCACCTGGCCTCAGAAGGTATTAATTAAGCTGTTGTGTTTCATTTTAACATTTCAAATACTGATTACAATATTAACAATAAGGGTAGCTGCAGGGACTGCCTTCCATATATGGGGGGAGGCACGTTATTTTTTAACTGTTGGCAAACGTTTTATAGTTTTTTACAGTTTTTGAATAAAACTATAAAGTAGGGTACCTAGCCTCTGAGAAGAAATTCACCCTGTCTTATTCCTCTGCTAGACAAGTAGTATACCATTTAATTAATTTATTGTTCATTCATTGGCTGTCCTTTTTAAATCAAAGTTTTAAACATTTTTAAGTCATTAGCGTTTTATTAGAGTGAGATAAAACTAGCCGGTCAAGGGTGATATAATTAATATTAATTCTGAAGACTCAGACTTTAGGTTTTTCTAAACCACTCTACAGTGCCATGATTATTATCATAACAAGCTTTAATTTTGTGTCACTTTGTATTTAGGCCATGATATCAAACTGTGTTAAAAGAAATTCTCTAGTGACTGGAACTATTCAGCAACAGCTGTTGCTCTACCTGTGAAGAGATTTAAAAAAACCTTGCCAACAAAAGCAGTCTGAAATGCCTTTTACGTTATCACTGTATTAGCTGCTGCTTGTGTACTAGAGGTTGAGTTTCGCTGTGGATGTTTTAAAGGATATTGCTGAGTTAATTCTGTGGAACAAAGTAGGCTTGGGATGACGATACCAGCAGTGGAGGCGCTCGGCCTGGGAAAGCAGTCAGGGGTTTAAGAACAAAAGCAAATCTGACTCAGCATTGGCTTTGTAATATCCGGAGGCATTGAGTGTATATTACATATACATATGTTATATGATGTACTTGCATAGATACACATTGACATGTATACATATGTGTATACTCAATGTCCAAACAACTTCTTAAAACTTACCTAGAAGCAGTTAACCCCCTGCCTCCCAGTCTGCCTTTGCTACACTGTTCCCAAAGATCTCCCAAAGATAACTAAGTTTGAAATTAATGTTTGGAATAAGATGTAGATGCAAGGACAGCTCTGGGAACTTCAGGTGATAGAACTAGTATATATCTTGACTTGGTGGTTACACTGTAGGTTGCATGCTGCTTTCATAGAACTCAGAGATGCACATGACAAGAGTGAATTTTGTTTGTAATTTTAAAAGAAGAGAATGTTCAAGTATGGCATGCTCTCTTTCCTTGGAAAATTCATTGGATAGTATTAAAGATACCAGGTACCCTCCTGCCTTCCTTTCTTTTCTAAGACCAGGTTAGTGATAGCCAAGTGGAACCTTCACCCCGTCCTACAGACCCAAGGGGCTGCAAAGACTGATGTTTGGGCAAGACTGGAAGATCTCCACCTAAGGAAGCCACTCATCCTCTCTCCCCTCCTTCTCTTCTCCCTCCTTCCCTCCCTCCCTCCTCATTCCCTCCAAGGCTACCTTCCCCCTTCCTTTGTTCTCTTCCATTTTCGACATTTTTTTTACATACCTCTATTGAATTATAGAAATGATCCCTGAAAGTATGGTCTTTTTACATATCTTTATCCATGGTATTTGGACACACATGTTTCTGTGTCTAACACAGACTCTCTTACAAGCTAGATCTCTTATGATCACCCACACAAGATGACTACTGTACTCTTTGTCATGTATGTAAAAGGGAAAATTTTTAAAAGTTGCATTAAAAAATACACGTTAATGACTTGCTGTTGAAAACTTGATTTATATTATTTTTATAATGGCAGTGATTTTTGTTCATCAGCAGCTACATTATTTCATCGTTCTTCCTTCTGAATGAAGTACATTCCTGAGTAAAAGACAGGACAGAGGAAAGTTATCTTTCTCTCAGAAGGATTCAGTTTATAATCTGACCCTCATATGCTTTCTATTAACAGTCTTAAAGAGTGTTATTTAGCACAGTTATTTATCAGTCTAAATAGATCAATCAATTGAATAAAAATATATTACTTCTACTTGTCTTTAAAAAATAAATAATCCAATAGTTTTATTCTCAGATTTTTCTTGTCAGTTGCTGTGCACATGTATTAAGTGATCAGGGAATTTTCTTTTATGATAGCTTTTCCTAAGTCTGTTGTTTTCTCCTTTCAGTTCTTTCTGTTAAGTGATTGATGAAATGAAAGTATTATTCTGAACCGAATATTTCTTAAGAATGGAAGTTGAGGCGAGGTACTCATGCCAGTAATTCCAATGCTTTGGGAGGCTGAGGAAGGAAAATCACTC